CCGTCGCCAAAGCCACGGCCGCCCGCCACTGGTTCGCCGTCTATCTCCTCGTCCTGGCCTACGGCAAGGTCTTCATCGTCAACCAGAGCTCGCCCGAGGGCCCCGCTGGCTACCAGTATGCCGTGCGCGCCATGGCCCTCATGCCCGACCTCTCGGGTCTCGATGCCGACGCTATCCACGCCGTGCAGGCCTTGGCCCTTGGCGCTGTGTACCTGCAGTCCATCGACATGCGGCTCGGCGCGCTGCAGCACGTGGGTCTCCCTGGTAAACCTTGAGGAGCCTTTCACTGACAAGACGTACAGATTGGCCATGCCCTGCGCATATGCATCATCGAGGGCTGGCACCGCCACATGCCTGAAGAGGTCGTCGGCATTGAGCACTCGCGACGCTGCAACACCATCTTCTGGGTCGTCTACCGCCTTGATCGCGAGTTTGGACCGCTCATGGGCGCACCGAGCTCCATCCGCGACGAGGACATCACGGCCAAGGCGCCCTCGGAGCTCGATGGCACGCTTGACGCCTTGAACATGACGCTGCATACCCGCCTGGCCCGGCTCATGGCGCGGATCCTGACGGGTGAGTTCTGATGGATGTTGTGGTGATTTGCTTCTGTGCTGACTGATGTCAAGCCATCTACGGCGTTGGGCAGCAGTTTGACGGGTCGCTCGTCACCAATACCCAAGAGGTCCTCCGCGACCTAGCGCAGCTGTCCAAGGACATCAATGCCCTCCTCAACGAGCACTTCCAAGGCTCCATCAGTAGGGCCTCGCGCATGGCATTGCGGCTCATCCTGTCCTACCACCATGTCAGTTTTCTTTCCTTTCCGGACCACCCCCAGCTAACCCCGTCGTTAGTGTGTCGTCCTCACCACGCGGCCCCTCGTGATGTGCGCGCTTCACATCCACGTCAAGCAAACAGACACCTTCCGCAGCGGTTCAATCTCACTATCACCACCCGTGGCTTCACTATTGCAATCCTGCGTCGACTCCGCGCAGACTGTCCTACGCATCCTCCGCGTCATCGGAGACGAGGACCTTCTTGAGGCCTTCCTCCCCTTCCAGCTCGAAGACGCTTTCTCTTCAGCCTTCATCTTGTATCTCGTGCGCACCATCAGCCCCGCCCTGTTGCAGGACGATAGCTGGTCCGACAACGTGCGGAGTATCATGGACAAGATGATCTCAAAAGGCAGCATCGTGGCCCCTCTGCGCAAGGTCGAGCTCGCGCAGCTGGAGCACATCATGGGTGTGTTCACGCCGCTGGGCGATGACGGCGCGGAAGACGCGCCGCCTACGCCTGCGGCAAGCTCGGCGGCTGCTGCGGCCCAAGGAGGGATGGAGCAGGACGATGCGGGGCAAGATATGTCACTCGATGAACCGGGATGGGATCTGTTCATGTCTAATGGCATGGTGGGCATATCGCCGGGGGAGATGCTGGACCTGGCGGCTCAGCTTGAGGTTGGGGCTGATTTCTCGGCGGGTATGAGCTGGGATGTTGGACCGTAGACTGAGATGGCGTTTGTGGCGGCGTTAGATGTGGTGAGGCATTCTCAGCCAGATGAATATTCACTGTCTGACACGGAAGACAATCCAATTTGCATTCACTCGATGTCTACCTAGGGACACAACCCTAAGCCAACTAACCCCAGCCCTAAGAAAACCCTTTCACCGCTTGACTTTACGGTTTACAAATTCCGTCTGCAACTTGAACCACAACGTGAACATCGTCCAGACGCCCTGCCCAACAGACAACGCAGACAAAGGTATTCAGCTGCCTCTCTCCAACACTCGGTCCAAACCTCGCAGCCGAACATCTCGGCCGGCGTCGTCAAAGACTCCCCACACCTCGCCTCGTCGCCCAATCGCCAAGCGCCGTCGGCTCGCATCCATGGATCCGATCGCCAAAGTCCCCAGCGCCCTCCAGAGCAGCCCACCCTCCTCGGCTCTTTGTCACAATACTCCCCGAGGCGGGCCCCCCTTGCCCCAGGTCCCAGGAGGAAACAAGGCCTGGGGAGGAAGGCCAAACGCGGGGCGAGGGCGGGGTGCCGCCTGCATCGACAGTTGGTGATCCCACCAAACAGACCAGACCGTCGGCCAACCCCCCGTTCCGTTGAGTCATGCCATTATATGCCCCGGGTGCGCCTCTCGTCGGCATCGGCTCTCAAGACAAGCAAGCGCCGCCCCCCGGATCTGCCTCCGTCATATCTGCCCAGCTATCGGGAGTCGTTCGTCGCTCGCCATCGCATCTCACCACACCACCCCGTCGGTCGGTAGCCAACGCCCCCCCCTGGACATCTCGTCGGAGAAGTGACATTCTAGCCTGGCGTTCCCCAGATTTTCCCCAACTCGCGAGTCGCAACGCGCCCACGCGACGGCGACGGCTAGGTGGAGTCCCGCGAGGATAAGTATCCAGGACGGCCTCACCTCTTGCTGATCACTCCTCGTCTCCTCTCTCCTCATCCTCTCCCGGAACAACGGCGCGCATGCAGCTCGAGCTTTCTGTCTGATCTGGGCCATCTGCCAAGCATCCGCATCATTCACGACTTCTCCCCCCACGGCACCGTACCACTTCGCAACCATGGGCGGACTCAAGGCTGTGGAAGACAGGCCGACGCCGAAGGAGGTCTACAACTGGCGCCTCTACACCGAAGCCTCGATCATTGCCATGGGCTCCCTGCTTGTGAGTTTCCCCCTCTCCTCTGATCTTGTCCAGCCACTGACAATGCTTGCCTGCAGTTTGGCTACGACTCGGCCTTCATCGGCACCACCATTGCCCGCAAGAGTTTCGTCGCCGACTTTGGCATCACCCCCGACAATAAAGCCGAGATTTCTTCCAACATCACCTCGGCCTTCCAGGCTGGAGCCCTCGGCGGCGCCCTCATGTGCTTTTTTAGTACGCCCAGCCCCCCTCCCTTGCTTCCCTTTGTCCTTTGACAGAACCACCCTCTGACAACCTCCCAGTCACAGAGTACATCGGCCGCAAATGGGCCCTCATCATCTCCAACATCGTCTTCATTGCTGGCGCCATTCCGATGGTCGCTGCTACCAATGACCTCGCCTACATGTACGCCGGCCGAGCCCTGACCGGATGGGGCTGCGGCGTCATCACTGCCACCGTCCCCTCGTACATCGCCGAGCTGTCTGTGTCCTCCATCCGCGGCATCCTTACCGGCCTCTTCGAGGTGACATACCAGACGGGCTCCCTAATTGGGTTCTGGATTAACTATGGTAATTCCCTTACTTTCTCTGATCTTCTACAACAGTTGTCAACTTTCACAGCTGTTGTCAACTTTCACAGCTGTTGTCAACTTTCACAACTGTTGTCAACTTTCACAAAAAAGTTGAAGCTAACTTTTATGCCAAGGAATCAACCGCAATATGGATCCTTTGTCTCGCGCCTCTTGGCGTCTGCCTATGGCTGTTCAGCTCATCCCTGCCGGCGCCCTACTTGTGGGAGGCTTCTTCCTCCACGAGTCTCCATTGTGGCTCTTCCGAAAGGGCCGCCGTACCGAGGGCGAGGCCGCCCTAGTCTCCCTGCGTCAGCTACCCATCGAGCATCAGTATATGCAAGAGGAGCTCGATATCATCAACGCCCGTCTAAGCGAGGAAGCCAGCGTCGCCGCTAAATACGGTACAGGCTTCTTCGCTTATATCAGGGGGTCTCTATACGAGCTATCCCGTAAGGGTATGTATAACAGGGTTATACTCGTTTTTTGTGCCTTTGCGCTTCAGAATATGAGTGGTGCCGCGGCCATTAATTACTATAGCCCTATGCTTTTTAGCTCTATCGGTATTACCGACGTCGCCTTATATACCGGTATCTACGGATTGGTTAAGGCTATAGCCTCTATCATCTTCTACGGCGCTCTTATCGACGTCTGGGGCCGCCGCAGACCGACCATCATCTCGAGCATTGCCTGTTCGCTCTGCCTCTGGTTCGTGGGCGCCTACGTCAAGGTCGGCAACCCTGCTCCAATCCTAGCAGCCGGGGGCACGCTTTCAGCTTCCACAGAGGCCGGTGGTCGTGCCGCGACAGGCGCCATCATGATCTACTCCATCTTCTGGTCCTTCGGTCTCAACGGTATCCCCTGGATCGTCTCGGCCGAGATTTTCCCGGGCGCCCTTCGCAACCTCACAGGCACCTACGCCGCCTTCTGCCAGTGGATGGTTCAGTTCATCATCACAAAGGCACTGCCGTACATCTTCAACTCGCTCTCGTTCGGCGTCTGGTTCTTCTTTGCCTGCTGGATGCTTCTGGCTAGCTGCTGGGCCTTCTTCTTCTTGCCCGAGACCAAGGGCGTCACCATCGATCAGATGGATGTTCTCTTGTACGTCCTCTTTTCCCCCGTTCCCTCACTCCCTACCCCCCCCTCTCCTTCTCTCCACTACTATTCAGCACCTCTATTTACATCCTACTAACTCCTCTCACAGTGGCTACGAGGGTGATCGCCGTGCCCAGGGCATTGTCAGCACCCCAATCAAGGACGACAAAGGCTCCGACCATGAGGTCAGCGAAGTCAACGATGTTAGCAAGGTCTAGGCACACAGTGGCCGAGGAACTACAGTTTTATAGCTTTCAATCCGCGTGTCTTGCTTGGCACACAAATGACCCCTGCCGTGAGATGTCTTTGTGCCTCCCATCCCCCGTCCCATAAGGCGTCCTTGCCAACCCTCGGCATTCCCTTTGTTACCCCTCGGGGCTTCTTTGTTGCCCCTCGAAGCTCCTGTACTATCCCTCGAAGCCTATTTATCGCCCACCCTGAACAAAGCACGTTCCAGCCTCCGCCCCCCGCCTCAATTAAAAGATAACAACCCCTATACTGTGAAACTGATGTTGTGAAAATAGTTGTGAAAGTGATCTTGTGAAAAAAATTCTGTGAAAAAAAATAGGAAGCCGTGAAATTATGACTTAGCTAGACAAGTTCGAAGTCAAAGGAGAAAGATCCCGAAGGCAAGGCTGTGTTTGTCTGGTGATGCTACCTACTATCCACAAAAAGGCAAAATTGATTCGAGGGAGGCTCGATCTCCCGACCTTCAGTGAAACCATCCAGTGGATGTTAGACTGACGTGATAACCAACTACACCATCAAACCAATTGATGAAAAGAAGGTCCCCTTCTGAGCCTCTGTCGGATGGTCCTGCGGGTGGTTTGTTTGTGGGCGATGTGGAAGAGTATCGAGAATTGGAGATTCAGGGGACCTCGAACCTGTCCTAACTCCTTCCCCGGAAGGGAAAACCGGGAAGCTAAGGCCTTCTTTTAGAACTGTTCTGGATCCATCTCTTCTGCAAATAGTAAGAAAGCTGAACCGGAATGCCCAGGGCCTTCTCGGTGTTTCACGGCGACACAAAGGCGGCCGAGTCGATTGGTCAAGTCAAGTCAAGTCTATTCATGAGGACATGCTTCATCGGCTTCCTTTCATCCCAAGCACAGTCTTCATGCCACCCCCCTCTTGCCCAGGCTCTTCTCGACCTCCTCAAGGGAGCCGACAACCTCCGTGATCCACGCCTGTTTTTTCTCATCGGTGAACTTGGGATAAGGTCGGCGGCAGTGTGCGCTGTCGAGGTTGTAGCCCCTAAACTTGGCGACCACCCACTTCGTGCCGTTGATGCCGCCCTTGGCGAATCCCCACTCGGCCTGGGCGAGCTTGAGCTGCAGCGCGGCGGCCTCGTTCGTCTTGCCGGCCTGGTAAAGATCGTAGATGCGGGCGCAGGCCTGTCGAGACACATGAGGTCAGTGAAGCCCTCGTCGGGGGAGGCAGGGAGGAAACGCACCTTCGGCCACAGGTTGGCAACACCCGTAACGACACCGGTGGCGCCGACCGACATGCCTGGAACGAGCCAGTCGCTCTGGCCGGTCATGGCGAAGAACTGGGTGGGCTCGAACTCGGCGCGGATGCGCGAGACCTTTGCGATGCCGCCGCAGGTGAGCTTGCAGCCGACAATGTTGGGGTGCTTGCCCAGGCGGGAGAACATGTCCGAATTGACGTCGAGGCCGGCGACGACGCCGGGGAAGTTGTAGATCATGATGGGGAGTGGAGAGGCGGAGGCGAGCTGAGTAGCTTAGGGTTAGGGTCAAGCATGGTGGGGAGGGGTGGTGGTGTTGACTTGCCTCCTCGAAGAAAGCGCAGATAGCTTCCTCGTTCATGGCGAAGTGGAAGTAGCTCGGCACGAGGACCAGGAGGTAGTCGGCGCCGGCCTCCTTGGCCAGATGCGTCTCGGCGACGACATCTCTCGTGCAGTGCCCTGATGTGCCCATGGTAATGACCAGGTCGGGGCGGCCGAGGCGTACAGCGACCTCGCGCGTGAGCTTGAGGAGGCCGGCCTTGTCTGCAGCAGAGAGGGTGACGGCCTCACCATTTGTGCCGGCGATGACAACTGGTTAAGTCAGATGGATGCAGGAGCGTATTGTCAGGACGGGTGAAGCTTACCGCCCTCGAGTTGGGAGTCGATGACGAACTCGAGGTGTTGCCTTTGAAGATCCCAGTCAATCTCCTGCGACTCGTCGTCCTTGAACCATGTCAGGCAGGGGACGTGGATGCCCTTGAGGTAGCTGCTGCTGGCGGATACGGAGCCCATTGTGTCTGTGGTTGTGATGGCTGGTGTTGGTCAAGAGGCTACTGCTTCAAGTTGGATCTGTTCGGAGAATGGAAACGAAGGAACAAAGATCTGGATAGAAGAGGTTATGCCATTCTTGAGGACGAATTGTTCCCACAGCTCGCGTCGACGCGTAGCTCGCTTCATGTCGAGCTCGCCACGGCCCGCCTCTGTCGATGCGACAGCTCCATCGCCGCCGCACCCCGCGACCCGCGACACGACAGGCCGACGCGACACCCCATCAGCCCCTCCAAATCGCACGAGGAAGACCTCTCCATCGTCAGACGGCTCTCCTCCCGTGTGCGGGGAGGTCGATCTCGCGGGGTTCGTCGCGTGCTCATCGGGAAGAAGTTTTGGGGGAGGGCACGCCAGAGGGAAAGGAAAAGCGAATCGCAGGGCTTTGCGACGGGCTTGCCGGGGTTCAAGCCGAGCTGCAGCTCCCCGCGCGGCGGTTGGTGGAAGCGATAGTGGTGGCCGGGGTGGCCTTGGAACCGGCGAAACAGCTCTTCGGCGGTTCCGACCAATGTCGGCAGTCTTTGCTTTTCCGCCTGGGACTACTTGAGAATAGAACGTCCCGGTGGCTTGGTCGTTTGCGTTCGCTTGCTTGGTTCGTCCCAAGATTCGATGTCGAGAACAGCTGGACCGTGGCTCTTTCAGCCCGGACCTCTGTGGCACATCCTACATCTGCCACTCCCTCTTCCACCATCCATGTGCTGCCACGCGCGAGACATGGCGAGCACCAAGCAGCCGAACCCGAAGTTGACCTTGGCCGGGCGACATGCTCGTGTCCCACGACATCCCTCCCCCCGCCGGACTTATCAATGCCAACGTCGCGCACCCACCGCATGAGCGCGCAAAAAGCCCGCCGGCCCTATCACCACGAACCTTTCACGCTTGTCGCCCCAGGGCCGGCCACGCCATGTTTTTCCCCCTTCACAGGGACCAAGATACCGCAAGACATGGTTGCTGAGTCGCGCAACAGCACCGTGGCCCCGAATCCGTCCAATCCCGGCGCCGCTCGGTGCCGACTACCGGGGGTCCGGGGTGTGGGCCAAGGCCGGCACCGACGTCATCACCGCCGCGGGAGGGTTCCATTGCGCTGGGAGTCAGGTTTGGCCCTGTAACGGCGCCCCGTAGCGGGGGGGCCGGGTGCCCTGGGGACGCCCTCGTAGCGCGGGGCGCTGAAGATGTCGGGTGCCCTTCAGCGGGCTTTCCCCCCGCGGAGGGCCTATCAGGGCGGCCGTCCAGCGGCCCGCCTGCCTGTGTGCTGCGGGCTCGGCGGAACACCCGTAATCTCTCGAGAGAAATGGGAGAGAAGGCCGAATGCCGTTGTTGGCAAAGATCGGCCGCCGGCGCTGGGAGGGATTGCTTCAATGGATTTCTGAGTCGGGCTATAAAGGCCGCGGAAAACTCTGCGCCGCCGGGCTGGTGAAGTGATGTTGAAGCCAGTGTTCTCGCTTACTCGCACTTCCTGATCTCACCTGGCTTGTCTCGAAAGATACTTGCCTTATCTCGGCTTCAACACCCCCTCACCTCTGCTGTATTTGCCCGTTTGCCCCCAGCCACCATGAAGACCTCGTCTGTCCTCCGCGCGGCCGGCTTCGCCGCCGCTGCCTCTGTGGCTCGCGCCGCCCCCTCGAAGGGGTGCACTCCTCTCCGCCACTGGCCCAAGGAGGCCGCAGAGAGCATCAACGCCGCCATCCGGGCCAACGCCCACTCAGGTGCCTACGCTGTCTTCGACATGGACAACACATCCTACCGCTTCGATCTCGAGGAGTCCCTGCTGCCCTTCCTCGAGGGCCGCGGCATCATCACCCGCGAGACCCTCGACCCCTCGCTCCACCTGATCCCCTTCAAAGACACGGACGACTACACCGAGACGCTCTTCAGCTACTACTACCGCCTCTGCGAGATCGACGACATGATCTGCTACCCCTGGGTCGCCCAGGTCTTCTCCGGCTTCCCCCTCCGCGAGCTCAAGACCTACGTCGACGAGCTCATGGCCTACAACGGCACCATCAGCAGCACCTACTACGAGGGCGACGAGGTCACCCCCATCACCGTCAACAGGCCCCAGCCCTTCCGCGGCCAGCAGGAGCTCTACAACCGCCTTATGGAGAACGGCATCGCCGTCTACGTTATGACTGCCGCTTCTGAGGAGCTCGTCCGCATGGTCGCCTCCGACCCTAAGTACGGCTACAACGTGCCCCCGGAGAACGTCATCGGTGTCACCATGCTCCTCCGCAACGAGTCGGACATCTCGAACCCCACCGTCGCTCGCAAGCAGATTCATGATGGCGTCTACGACGAGAAGGCCAACCTCGACCTTGTCCTGACGCCTTACCTCTGGACCCCCGCCACCTGGATGGCCGGCAAGCACGCCGCTATCCTGACCTACATTGACGAGTGGCGCAAGCCCATCCTCGTCGGCGGCGACACCCCCGACAGCGATGGCTACATGCTGTTCCATGATGTCGATGTTGCCAAGGGCGGTGTCAGGGTCTGGATCAACCGCAGGGACAGCTACATGGAGCAGCTGGACGGCATGATCAAGGAGAACGCCGAGAAGCAGGAGGCTCTGGGGCTCGAAGTGACGGCCGATAAGAACTGGGTCATCGTCAAGCCCGAGGAGATTCTGTAGATGGGTTAGGGTGGGTGTGTACATACTTTCAGTGATACCAAGTATATTTCGACGCAGATGGCCATCAAGCGCGCCCCCAGTTCTGTTATTTTCGTGAGCGTCAAGTCATCTCATTCGCCCTGGGTATCAATCGCCTCGCTACAGAAACCCAACCTAGACAATCGCAAACACCGAGTTGAAAACAGCAATCATGACGGACCGAATGTCCATGCGCGCCCGCGCCGCGTCCTGCCGTGCCTGCACCTCCTCCAGAACCTGCGCGGTGATCCTCGCGTTACTAGCGACCTTTTCCATGCGGAGGATCTGCTCGCGGATCCATGCCCTCTCATCCGTGTCCTGCTCCTCAGCGCCCAGCATGAGAAGTGGCCAGAGCATGTTGACAGGCAGAGCATCATCCGGAGCAGCAAGATCAGCAACCAGCCGGCGGGCCAGACGACGAATGCTGGCCAATGCATCAAGAGCCTCTCGCGTCAGCGGCAGCGTCTTGTAGGCGACGCGATGGAGGTGCACCTTGCTGGCATAGTAATTGGACAGGTAGGTCCGGAAGCTCCGGGTGATGGCAAAGGCGAGACGGGCCGAGACGTGGCGCTCCGTCAGGCGGCCGGCGACGGCGGGGTCCATGAGGGGCGGGCGCTGGTCGTAGAGGGAGCGGAGGTCGGCGGCGATCTCGGCGGCGACATTCATGACTTCGGTCTCGTCCTCGACGGTGCCGCGGGACCGGTGCCAGGGATCGATTTTCGAAATGCGGCCCATGAAGCTTTGGACTTTTTGGTAAAAGACGATACCTGGCTGGTAGAGAACCTGGAAGAGCACGGCTTCGAGATCGCCGTCACCGGGGTCTTCAGTGCCTGGGGCGCCGTCTTCGGCATTGGCGGTGGCGGTTGAGGCGCCCTCGCCTTCGAGGCTTTGGCTAGCTGGCGATGCGTCTGTGAGCATGAGCTCCGTCTCCTTGGATAGAAATGGTCCGTCTCCGCCGGCAGACACGGCACGACCGTCAAGGATGCGAAACCAGAGGAAGAACTGCTTCTCGACCTGGCCAAGAGACCCGCGATCGGCGAGCTCGTAAACTGAGTAGGCGCGGTTGAGATGCGAGTGAGCAGCGTCGATGCGACTCTCGAGGATGTCGACGTAAGCGAGGAAGAACAGGGCTGTAACAAGGTGCTCTCGTGAGGGGCTGCTGGCGGCAGCCAGCTCGCGCATGGCATTGTCGTAGTAGACCTGGGACACAGCGGCCCAGGGGCCCTCGCAGCGGACGACAAGGACGTTTGAAAAGGCGAGAATGGCGCTGCGAACGACGGGGGAGACGCGGGCCATGTCGAGGACGGCGTGGCGCATGGCCAGCCATTTGTTCTGGGTCTCGACCTCGGCAAGCACAGGTGGGTTGTCTGACCGGGCGAAGAAGTCCATCAGGCGGTCCTCGCCGGCCGGCAGCTGCGGGGGCGGCATCGACACCGAGGAGGCTTCGGGCCGGGGACCGGGCACGGGCACTCCCTGGCCTTGACCTCCTGGGGCTGCGACACCAAGGGCCGGGTTTGCCGTGGTCAGCATCGGGCTGACTTGTTGCCAGAAGTCGCCCGAGTCCCACATGAAGCTGGCATAGTCGAAGACTTCGTCGACGGCATGAGCCTGCTGTGTTGCTGAGCCGCCAGGGGAGCCGTCTGTCGCTGGTGATGGCGGCACTGGGCTGTGCTGCGAGGGACCTTGAGCAGTGGTGTTTGTCTGCCGCCGGTGATGGGTGAGACTTGACTGGGGCCGCCATTTGCACTCGAGGTTCAGGCGCTCGCAGTGAGAGCATCGAGGGCGCTGCTCATCGCATTTCACCTTTCGCCGCCTGGCTGAGGTCAGAGGGGCAGGCTGCAGACAGACCAAGGGGACTCACTTGCAGGTCGAGCAGCCCTCGCGCGAGCGAATAGATCGACGACTGGCAGTGGCAGGACGCGGGGCGACGACTGCCATGGTGAACACAGGCTGCTGCTGCTGCTGCTCAGCGATGGGGTCAAGACCGCTGGTGCCATTGCCCGAAGGCCTGTCGGTGTTGCCCCCGGCGCCGAGGGCGGGGGTGTCCAGCGCGTCGGCGCTCTGCATTGCGGAAGACACTGGGGGAGGAAGACTGGTAGTCGGGTCTGGCGACGGGGTGTCAGGAGCCGGCCATGACTGTGCCGAGGGAGATGCAGCAATGTGGAGGTGGACGTGGAGGGGATGTGGAGGTTGAGGTCGGATGAGCTGAGGAGGCTCGAGGAGTAGCGACGACACCGGGACATTGCCGAGGGGGCGTGGAGACTGGAGCCGGGGTCGGCGGGGGTGTCTGGGGTCACGGGAAGCTCTGGCAGCAGACAGCTGGTGCTAAGTGTCCGCGGCTGGACAATGTTCAACGAGGTTAACCCCTGAACCCCTGAGCCACACAGTGCCTTTTTGTCCTCTTGGCCGCAGGAATTTTCCTGCTTAAGAAAATTTGGTCAGTGACCTGACACTTCAGCAGAGCAGCCTCCCTCAATTGCAGGCAAATTCTCAGTCAAACAAATTCAACACAAAGGGAAATATTTCTTGAACCCCTAGTAGTTTACACTCTGACTGGAGACCGGCCGAAAAAGCATACGTTACTCAACTTCCAGCTCGTTCATCGTCCTCGGCCCAGCATCAACAACCTAAAAGGAGAACTTCCGATCCCACCAATCTGCAAAACAAGACGCCCATCGACAAAAGGGTACTTCCGGAACGGGGAATTGAACCCCGAGCCTGTCGGCGCCATCAAACGACTGTTGAGAGCGACAAATGTTGACCATTACACCATTCCGGATATATTGTTCGATGACAAAATGCCTCGGTCGGTGGGCTCTTCAAGCTTGGGTTAGGGCTCGATGCTGAACGGGGCAGATCAAATTGCTGCTCCACAGCCCCTCACTCGGAAGAAGAATCCTCGCTGAGCTGGACCGAGGGGGGAGACTCGCCACGAAGAGTAGCGTCCAACTCGGCATCTCCCTCCTCCTGAGCTTCCTTTAGCTCATCGGCGCTCATCGTCGTCTTGTCGTAGTGATCGGACCAGATCTTGTTGTCCAAGATGTGCTCCCCGATCGGCATCATGTGGTCCTTCATCATCTTGAACTGAAGACATTGTCAGTCGCCGTCTGCTTCAGCCTGCTGGGGTACTCACCTCCTTGTCCCACTTCAGCCCTTCCCAGCGCTTCTTGTCAGAGCTGTTCCTCTTCGCCGCGGCCTTGTCCAGCCTTGCCATAACGTCCTCCATGCCAGCTGGCCCGGTGATCTCAACGCCGTGCTTCGCCGCCAGCTCCCGCAGGTACGGCGCCCACGACGTCTCCTTATAGAAGTCCTCGATCATGTCAATCATCGACGAGGCCCAGCGGCAGGCGACGGCCAGCATCAGCCCAAGGTTCTTGACCTCCGAGTCTGGTCCGAACTTCTCCTCGCGCACGAGGATCTGCACAGCCGCAACGATCATGGTGCCGACGAAGAGGATCATGACCTCCACCTTCTCGCCGTCGTCGCTATGCATGAATTCGCAGTCGTCCGAGTCGATGTACATGATCAGGCCCTCAATCTCGGACCACACCGCCATCGTCGACTGCTTCTTCTTGTGCGCGTTCATGGCCTTGTTGAAGGCCCTGATCTGCAAGACAATTCAGTCAGTCGATGGCCGCCTTCTCAACAGCAGACAACTTACCAGGTTCTCCATGACCTCCATACAGCCATAGTGGCGCGCGTGGCTGTACTCATCGTAGTCAAACTCCTCGGGATCACGCCTCCTCGTCTCCTGCACCCACCACTTGTAGCGTTCGTGGCCGAGCATGGTCGAGATCCAAGCCCAGTCTGGACGCCGGGACGCAAGCTCGTGCACCAATGGCGCCTTGGGTTTGGCCGCACCCTCTTTCTCGTTCTCCTCGTTCTCCTCCTCCTCTTCATCTTCCTCCCCCTCTTCCTCCCTCTTGTAGATGACCTCGCTGTATGGAGGAGGTATACACACAAAGTCGTCGTCGAGTGTGCCTTGGCCCTCCTTAAGCGGCTCATACGGTTCCTGGAGGACCCAGTCACGCTTAGCATGGTCCTCGTAAGTCATCCCCAGAACCTTGTCGTGTTCCGCCAGCCACTTCTTGTGCGTCTCCCACCATACCCGGGAGCCGATGGTAAAGCAGAGGTCTGGAGTCCCGTCGAGCTCGCCCAGCAGCGACTTGGGAAGAACGACCTGCCACTCCTCCAGCGCCTTTTGGAAGCGCGCCGGGAAGAGCGTCGGTAGAGGTTCCTGGCCGTTGGGACCGCGGGTGATCCTGGGCTTGCGGGGGCCATTGTCGGCAGCCGGAGCGGGATTGGCGACCCGAGCATTGCTGGCTGAACTTGAGGCTGGGGCCTCAGCTGGCGTGTCGTCGTTGGGCTCCCCTCTTTCCTTCAAGCCCCGAAAGCCCGGCAGAGCTAAACCCCAATAGGCCCCTGAAACAGCGATCTTTTATCTTTTGGTGTTCCCTCATCAGAGCTTCATCGTCTCAACACCTGAACACTGTCACAAAGAACAGCACCTGTTTGACATGTCTCTCTATTAGGCTGGTGTACCAGAGACTGTCTACTCATTATCATCATTCATTCGACCCTGCGCTCCTGCGCATGTGGTCTGCACACCCTCCATTTCCACCATGGGATGAGGCTTCATGAGCCATCATCCGTGAGAAGATTACCATGCCTGGTCCTCCTTTCACACAATGACCTCCTTTCCACCCGCCTTCCGGGCCGCCCAAGACCTGACGAACATCTCATTTCCGTCAAAGGTGATGCGAACCTCGCGCGGGTTGTTCTTGGCCGCCTCGATCTCCTCAGCAGTCGAGTCGGCGCCGATCGGGCTGCCAGGAGTGAAGTGCCAGGTCAGAAGACCGTCCCAAGGGTTTCGATCCTCGGTGGCAGGAGGCACGCGCTCGTATTCGAAGACCTTGATCATGTCGGCGTCCTGGAGGCCCAGGCGGTTGAATTCGGCACGAAGACTGGCAACGCCCGCCTTGATGTGAGGCCTCTGGTGGAGAGGCTCGTCCTCGTAGGCAGGACCGAAGCGCCTGTCGACGGAAGCGCTGATGCCAACCCAGATCCACTCGTTCTCCTGGACGTTGAAGGGGCCGCCGGGCTGGAAGAGAGGCTCCAGGCCAGGATAGTCGTTGGCACCATTGGCGAAGAACTCGGTGATGCCCTCGCGGTAGTATTCATCCGGGAGGCCTGGGAAGAGGCTGTGCAGGAAGGCCTGGTAGGGCGTGCCGACGCCCAGGGTGAAGGTCGGGGTCTCCCAGAGATGAGCCGTCCAGATACCCTTGGCCGAGACGACGACGACAGAGAAGCAGCCGAAGACGGGAGCCACAGCGCCCATCTGTCCCGAAGTGGTGAGCTGGCCGTCCTCAACCTCGAAGATGCGGGCGTTGCTAGAGGAGACGTAGTGCTGCCTGTCATCTTCGCCTTCCTCGCCCTTGACAGTGATGACACCGTAAGACGTGCCCCATTTCGACTTTTCGGCAACCTGCTGCATCTTGTGCCACCAGTCCATGGCGCCCTGGGGCCAGTTCCGGGGGTTCGGAACATCCTGAAGCTTTGCGAGCTCCACTTCATCAACATCGTTCTGGCGGGCCTTGACACCCGGCGGACCGCCTGCATTCATCTCCTCCTCGCACATGGGGCAGCCGCCACCAGGGCCACAGAAGAAGGGCAAGGGACCCTCACACTGGTCGGGCTTCTTTGGATTCTCCTTCCAGGGGAGGTCTCCTTCGTAGACGAGGCCATCACCACACCAGGCCTGCTCGAAGAGGATAATCTCCTCATAACGAACAACGACCTGCTTGATGTCGTCATGAGTGTATGGCTGGAGATATTGAGGCTTTCCAACCAAGTCGGACTGCTTGCCGGGGCTGAACTGCCAAGAGACAAGGCCCATCGACGGCTCGAACTTTCGCTCCGCCGCCTCCACGATCTTCTCCCAGTTCTCGTCGAAAGAACCAGTCTTGAAATCGTACGATGACATGGCAAAGCCTCCGATCTCCTTGCTCCAGCGGGTGTAGAGGCGTGTGTCCGCCTTGAGATTGAACTCTTCACTGAGGTACAAGAGGATCGTGTCGACAGCATCAGGATGGCGGGGGATCGCTTCGCCGTTCTCATCATTCCAGTACTGCCTGGGAGTGATCACAATAGTCTTGATCCAGCGGAGAGATTCACTGTGGAAGGGATCGCCTCGCTTTTCGGTCAGTGGCCTCAAGTGCTTGTCGAGGTACTTGATGACGTCGATCTCGAATCGGTTCTTCATGTCGTCAAAGCTGCCGAACAGGTCGCTGAACGTTGGGTTCTCCCAGAAGTGAGCAATCCAGGTTCCAAAGGGCGAGACGATGAAAAGAGTTGTGCATCCAACCAGCGGGCCAGTGCCGCCACCGGCTGCCTCCACGACAGTGGCGCCGTCGACCTCCTTGGCAAACGTGTGATGGATGTGCGTGGTGTATTGGTCAGCCTCGCCGTCCCAGTCGATGAAGGGGCCACGGTTCAGAGCCAGCTGCCATGCGTAGAACCACCATTCACGGCCGCCGAAGCCACTTTTGTAAGTGTCCGGATCGGTGAGGTAGTTGCCGAGAATCTGTTGACCATCCTGTGGACCCCTCTTTGCCAGAGACGTAGAGTCAGGCTTGGGCGGGCGACAGACCTTGCAGGTGCTGGGCTTGCAAGTGAAGGGCTCGCACTTCTTGCCATCCTCTGACGGCACGAGGAACTCGCCATTCTCGGGCTCTTTGTCTTCTTGCCTGGACATCAGGGCGAGTTCACGCACCCTGGTACTGTCGTCACACCAGCCCCTCTCCAAGAGGACATCGTGCTCGTGGCGGATGATGAGAGCTTTGGGTCCACCGTCAATGCCGGGGGCATAGAGCCAGGTAGCAATGCCTTGTTGCATCCGGGTCATTGAGTCGAACTCCCTGCTGGGATGGTCCCTCTGGTCTCCCAATCTTTCGAAGTCCCCACCGACAAAATCGTTTTTGTAATACCCAATCTCGAAGATCTGGTCCTGGGAGACTTTTCCTTCATCTACGAGAAGCTTGCGAATGCGGTCGATGTGGTCCCGGCTGGCTATCTCGGTCGACTTAGGTGCAAAAGGTGAAATAATCCAGACGCCAAAAAAGTCATCCGATTGCGGATCGAGCGGCCCGTTCCGAGCGAGAAGGGGCAATAGGGCAGGATAATGGTCCCTGAAGAGACCCTTTGAGCCTGCGGGATACTCACCTTCCCTGAGAAAACGAAGCACTCGTCGCTCAAAGTAGGCCTCTTGTTCCAGAGCCGGATTACTCTCCTTGTACGAATCCTGCAAAAAGAAGCTGGGGACTTGCCAGATATGGTTCACATAGACGCCGCGCTTGGAGGCAGCGATCATCCCCGTGCAGCCCCAGATGGGACCCAAGCCGCCGCCCAGGCCGAAAGACTCTTGTCGGCCCTTCTTGCCGGAGAAGTCGTCAAAAGCCCTCCAGTTGCTCGAAGAGTGACCCGGGATGGAGGCCCACAACTTGTCGTCAACCGTGAAGTCCTTGCCGTGGCCGGCACCGTAGTCAATGTTTACCCTCCACATCTTGTTCCACCAATCATCCATACCTCCGGGCCATGTGAGAGGATCAGAAAGCTCCCTGGTGAGGATAGCGTCGCCATCGCCACGAGCTCGCTTCGCAAGGGCCTGGTTTGTCGGCTCGGGCTCGTCGAAGCACACTCCACCTCCACAAACACCTGGCTCGCAGAGAGCAGCCTCGTTAATCGTGGCTGTTGTGTAGGTTGTCTCTGTGGTCGTGGCCA